CCCCCCCCAACCTGTTACCAAATTTACTTTATAATTAAAAACTTCCATTTTACCTGATGGCTCTGGCCGCTACATTGTGAAGATATGCCTTCTGCTGTATATGGTTGTGCGTCACCTTGACAGGAACTGAGCAACAGCATTTCAGAAGTAGACAGTCCTGCAGTGGAGTTTCAAGGCAACGATGTTACTGATGATGAGATTAGCAGCATTATGGAGCAACTCAGCCAGTTGGCTGGCAGTACAGGTGACCATTTTTTTTGTTTCTTGCATGTTATTATATGGTATGATTTAGTTGTGATGCTACCTATGCAGTTTTTATCATTATCATTTATTATGTTTCAGCTGAGATGCTAGTATGTTATGGATTATGGAGGAAACTAGTTACATTTGGCACATCCTCAGTTTATGGACAGAGGAGATTACTTTGAGATATGGAGAGGAGCTGCAAATATACTGAAAGATCAGTCCCAGACAGATGATTGGGGGGGGGGGGGGTCAGGGCTAATAGGTCCTCACTGGAAAAGATGTGATTCTTTGGAATGAATAAAGTTTGTGAGCTTTTGTGAACATGCTAATAAGTATTTGGGTTCTATAAAATGCTTGAAATTTCTTGACTAGCTGAGCACCTGTTAGGTTCTCAAGAAGGTCTCAGTTCCCTGGATTTAGTTAGTTCAGAAGTGTGATCGAAAACCTTATCTATTCATCTGTATGATTGGGTTACAGATATCATCATATGTTCAGTTGGATCTGACTATGTTGAGGTATGATACAAACATTCTCCCTCTCCCAGAGAGACTTAGAATAGCCTTAAGAGATCTCTGTATCTCTAATACATACAAGTACATAGGATACAGACTAGTTAGCTCTTACATATGAGTCAGCTGTATTACTGTTAGCCTGCCTGGAACACTGAGATCGTACTCCAAGTTTGACTTTTTATGTGCACTGTTTACATGTCAAGTGTGAGAATTCATTATCCTACATGACGGTTAAATATTAAATATGCTATACAACTTCCATATTTCATATCCTAACTATGTAGGGCATGTGGTGCACCCTTTATTTTGAGCTTTCTTCTGTTCTGGGTTAACCATTAATAATTCCAGCCCCGGTATTTCATATTCTTTTATTTGTTTTGTAAATTCATTGTAATTTCTGTCTCTCATATTTTCATGGCAGTGTCTGTTGAATAAGCTCTGGCCATTGAAGGCCACATCACTTTAACATTTTATTTTCTTCCTTCTACATGGTAAATTCTTATACAGCTATTGTTTATTTGATTTTTCTCTCCATTCAACCTGCTTAGTATTAAAAATCTTGTTCTGGAATTACTTTCTGCTGATTTTATTTTACCTCTATACCAGTTTAGTATCTAGCATTCTACTGTGTAAATTATTTTGGTTCTTTGTGTATTAACCATTTCCGCACTTATATTCATGGACAAAACAATTTTGTTTTCAGTCTTACAAATGCATGGGTCATTTCATAAATAATGCACAGGTTGGCAACACTGCAGATTAGATGACACAATAACAGTGAGCCTCACGTCAGTTACAGTTCAGGGCTTGAGAAAGAAGCACATTATTTTGTTTCATTTATAATATACTCTGTTCTTAAATAACATGAGTTAGAAATGGAGCCTGCACAGTTCTTGGGTATTGTGACTGTTGAAGATCAAAGGTTGTACCTTAAGGTCGAAACTTTACGTGGAAAATACCTGACAGAAATCCGCAGTGCTTTAAGTGAAGTTTGTGGCGAGTTAACAGTGGACCGTAGTACAGTTTCTCGCTGGGCTAGTCGTTTTCGTGGCAATCATGTGAGCATAAATGATGATCCAAGGCCAGGAAGGCCGAAAACACCAACAGATGAACAAAGTGTGAAACTTGTGTCAGATGCTCTTGAAGATCGTCGTGCGACATGCGAGGAACTTTCTGAAACCACGGGGATTCCACCAACGACAGTATTCCGAATTCTGACAAATGATTTAAAGAAGATAAAGATTTCTGCGCGATGGGTCCCTCACTGCTTGACTGCTGAACAGAAGCAGAAACGCCTCAACATTTCAACCTTGCTGAAACAAAGATTCGACATTGAAGGTCAAGCATTCTTGTATCGACTTGTCAATATTAATGAAACATAGACTTTGAACCGGAGCTGAAATCACAGTCCAATGAGTGGAGAGGTCCATCTTCCCCACAACCAAAAAAATTTCGACAATCTCAATCAAAGGTCAGACAAATGATGATCTTTGCTTATGATCACCAAAGAATCATAATGACAGAGAGGTCCATGCAGGAGAAGTGTTACAGCAGCTTATTATATTGACTTTATGCAAAATCTGGCAGAAAAATGCACAAAAACCGACCTCAGTTGCCCAAGGCTGGGCCGATCATTCTCCATGACAACGCTCGCCCGCACATCGCGAATGTCGTAACAGAAAAGCTGCGCCACTACGGTTGGGAGGTGTTGCCTCATGCTCCCTACAGGCCGGACACGAGTCCACCAGACTTCGACTTGTTCCCAAAGTTGAAGCAGCCTATGCAAGGTCGTCGTTTTCCCTCTCTGGAAGAGCTTTCTGTTGCAGTTACCTGATCCATTCAACAGATGAACAAAGATGGTGTCCTGGATGGAATAGTAAAACTTACCACATGTTGGGACTTGGTCATTGAGAAGCAGGGGGACTATATTGAAGGACTGTGGAGAGATATTAAAAAAATAAACATGGATGAAAAAAAAAATTGTGTGCATTATTTCTGAAATGACCTACGTAGTTCAGATATTTGTATTTTATGCACCACTCCTCTAATATGAAAGAGATAAGAGTGTAATATTTTACTGTCACTGGGTAAGGATATATCTGTTCAAGGAAAAAAATGGGGATAGGGTAGCATGTACTAATAAAGCAAAATTAATTTCTGTTGCCTTGTTTCTGCTTTTTGACTCTTTATTGTCAAAACCTAGATACATACAGAGGCACTGTTTCTGTTAAAGCAAACTCGGAATACTGCATGGTCTTTCGTCTGTTCTGTCCCAGTGGCATAGAATTAATTCCATTCACAGGTTATCATTGGTTTTAGGATAAATAATTTACCAACCAAATAATGAGTGTCCTAATGGCACATGGTTTCTGTATCGAACCTCACTGCATTACTTACACTTATTTAATAATCTGGTAAATAAAATCAAGAGGTGGAGAAGAGGCATCATTGCTAGTCTTCATGACTGTTGCATGGGAGAGCAGATAACGCCATGATGTTGACTGCATAATGATGCTACAAATGACCAAATGTTTCTTTATAAATATACGTTATAATGAAGGCAATTTAAATAAAAATGAATGGGTTAATATACGAGTAATATACATATGTGCAAAACATATACAAAACTATATCCAGTTTGGTTTGTTTGTTCCAGATGACAGTGCAGCAGATAAGAGTGTAGAGGAAATCTTAAAGGAGGCTGAGGAACTTGTACGAGAAACATCTCATAGTTTCTCACGGTTCTCGAACAAAAGTGACCAGCTGAAATCTCCAACAACACCAGGCCTAGTCATCAGGAGCATGCCTGTCAACCCAGTGCATGCATCCATAGATAACAAACATTTCGTTATGGAAGGAAACGATGAAGACAGCCAGAGCAGCATCAACAGACCAGGCACTGCCCCCAGAACTCTTACAAGAATAAATAATAAATCAGCGGGTTGGAAAATGATAGACAAAGGTGAACAGCTTCGAGGCAGCATATTGGGTTCAGTCCATCAGACTTCTGGGAAGATAGATGTTAGACCTGGTGTGGAAGAAATCAGTGGTGATAAGTTTGGTGATTTTAGACAAGTTGCTCATTCAGATATCCATGAAAATAGTGGTGCAAGAACAGATGGTGGATATACTGATGTAGAATGTATGATGTCAGGCACAAAATCTGCAAAACATTTAGGAAATTATTCAGGTAGTACAAACAAAAGGAAAGATTTATTAAAGAAAGAAAAGACTGTAACGTTTGAAGATGGTCTTTCTTTGTTTCCAAAATCAGCAAGTAGCATGAGCAAGATATGTCACAGTGTAGAACAAAGTTCTAGTCAAAAATTACATGAGGGTGAAAGTATTTCCAAGAAAAAGTCAGAGGCGTCGAACAAAGAGGATAATGTGCTAACTGTGGAAACTGTCACTTTGCAACCGGGCGCTGAAGATGAACAGTTTGTAAGAGGGGAGAAACATGGAGACCAGCATTCCAAAGTGTTAACAGTTTCCCCTCCACTGATCCAACATGGTGAGACTGTAGGCACTCCAGATGCAATCTTCCAGCTAATTGACAGTGAAGTGAGAAGTGAGATAGTTGCAGCTTTACAAGAATCACAGAAAAATTCTAGTCAGGACTCCAGCCATTCATCGTTGAACACAGAGAAAGAAAAGGAGGAGATATTTGATCATGGTAACAATGTGAGAAGTACGATGATACATTCGCTGGACAGTGCTGGTATTTCATTTACTAAAAAGCCGCTGTCGACTGTGCAAGAAGAATCGAGTGTGTCAGAGTCTTCCTTAGGAGTGGACAAATTGAAGGATGCTAGTACAGTGACAGCAAGGAAACAGTCAAGTGGCAGATGTGTTCAAGTGACAGACACTTCATTGATAGAGCATGTAGCCACTTTGGAGAAGGATCTGCTTCAAGAACAAAACATGTCATTGCAGCTTAAAAGTATGTGTATAGAAGTTTTGTAACTTGGATAGTTGATAACTAAACTAACTCTTAGTAGTAACTGCAAAGTTCACCAGAACTAATATGAAACCATTTCCATATACCTCCCATGATATTATGAAAATAACGAAATTAACAGCAGATTCAGTAATATTACAACTTTTTGCTTTATTCTAACAGGGCTTTTCTGCTCTTTTAGAGACCTTTTTATGTTTGATACTTTCCTTATTTCAAACTACAGCCATCAAATGTATTAATTCAATACATTTTTCTGTCCCTTTAGTTGAATTTATGCCATACAGAACACAAATCATACAAATTTATACAAGCCAAACACAGTGGAACCTTCGTTTCATATTTCTTGATTTAAGTGTCCCATATTTAAAGTTCAGTTTTCATTGACCTAAGTGAATAATATCTGTCAAATTTCCTTAATGTAAGGGTTTCTCAGTATCAATTCCATTGCCTCTCAGAGAAACCTTAAATACAGGTTTTATTGTAAATTGAGTTCTTTGTTAGTGATAAGACATTTGTGAAAATTTTAAGTTTCTGTTGTAAAGAATTATTAATGAATGCTACGAATATGTTTTCCATTTATTTTCCTCTCAGAAGATTTTATGCCATTACAACCATGCTTTGACCAGGGTTTGCCCAAACTTGTGCNAATGACATGATACCGGGGGACAGGCTACTGACGTCAATGACATGGCGAAGAATTGGTGATTGAGCTCCATCCAAACAACATGAACAAGGAAACAGGGTTCAGTCTCAACAAGTCATGGAAGCCACTTATCTCTTGCCTCAAGAGAAATACAACAAGCCACTCCAATTCTTCACCATGTCGTTGACGTCAGTAGCCTGTCCCCCGGTATCATGTCATTGACGTCAGTAGCCTGTCCCCAACCAACTAGTTCTTCTTGCCTACCGCACTTCCTAGTGCTATTGACCTCAAGTTCCTGGATTTACTGGCCGTCCCCCCCCCCCTCCTTAGTACACATCATATGGTCTTTATCGCTCTCAACAATCTCGACAGACGTGAAACATCCTTTCCCTCAAGAGAATCCTACTAGCCACACCAGTTCTTCGTCATGTCATTGACGTCAATAGCCTGTCCTCTACCTACCGGTTTTTCTTGACTACCGCACTTCCTAGTGCTATTGACCTCAGTTTCCTGTACTCACTGGCCGTTCCCCCTCTCCCTTAGTAACACACCATATATGGCCTTATCGCTCTCCACTGCTCCCATTGGTCTGTTCTCCCTACCACCCCCCCTGCCTACTTCGTATATAAGCAGCACCTTCCACAGCCTATCACCACAGCTACTGCTCTCCACAGCTATTCAACTGCTCTGAAGATGGAGGCGCTACGTTCCTCCGAAACGTCGGCCAAAACGAAGAATACACCGTGCCTAAACCCAGAAGACAACTTTCTTCATTGTCATCGCCGTGAAAACCTCAAAACTTACATTGTGCTTAAAGAGTTTACACATCCAATGAGAGAACGTTAGGTATGCAAAGTAAAAAAAAAAAGGTAAAACTATCCCTGTAAGGGGACACATCCAGTGAGAGAACATTAGGTATGCAAAGTCTTATATGAAAAAGAGGTAAAACTATCCCTGTAAGGGGTTATGGAGGCCTCAGGGACCCCACATTTTCTAGACAGTTGACTCGGAGATAGCAGCGAGGTTGTCAGCCTTACGTGCCAGCCACCCTTTACCTCCAAGAAGATTCCTAGTACTCATTCATGTTAGACGTTGAGTCGACCCCAGGGCCATAATGCAGCTGGAAGGATGAGATAAATTCAGAAATCCATTGGTCTCATCAGGAATCAAACTCATGACCTTCCAGCTTGTAGCATAGTGCCTCAACCAACTAAGCTACCACGTGCCCTGAAGTCTTATATAGTAAGACAAAAAATTCAAATACTACATCACAGTGAGCATTTAATATTGCTTTGGGGGTCACGTGGTAGCGTAGTGGTTGAGGCACTATGCTACAAGCCGGAAGGTCATGGGTTCAAGTCCCGATGAGGTCATTGGATATTTTTCAGTTGACCTAATCCTTCCAGCTGCACAATGGCCCTGGGGTGACTCAGCCTCTAACAGAAATGAGTACCAGGAATTAATTAAATAATTTTCCTGGGGAGTAAAGCACGGCCGGCGCGTAAGGCTGACAACCTTACCGCCATCCTTGAGCTGATTGTCTAGATAATATGGGATCCTCAACATCTCACAACCCTATGGGCCTTCACAGCCTGGTACAGGGATAGCTTTACGTTTTTTACTTTATGGGAGATAACATCAAACTATAAGTAAAAAAGTAAAGCTATCCCTGTAACAGGCCATGGAGGCCCATATGGTTGTAAGATGTTGAGGCTCCCACATTTTCTAGACAGTCAGCTCACAGATGGCGGTGAGGTTGTCATCCTTACACACCAGCCGCCCTTTACACCCAGGAATATTCCTGGTACTCATTTCTGTTAGAGATTGAGTCTACCCCAGAGCTATAGTGCGGCTGGAAGGGTTAGGTAAATTGAAAATATCCAGCTCATCGGGATTCGATCCCACAACCTTCCAGCTTGTTGCATAGTGCCTCAACCAACTATGCTACCACCTGCCCCAACATCAGACTATGGGAATCATAAAGAGACACACATGAAATCAAACTTTTTAATGACACTCATTCTCTCACCATGATGTGCAAGTAATCATTAACAAGTGAACATTTTTAAAAATGAATTTGTAATGGGAAATACACTAAAGATCATCATCATCCTTTTCTCACTTCAAAGTTTCCGCCTTCATGTGCATTGTCTCTAACAGCCAGGCCCCTCCATCAGTTCTGTCTTCCCAAAGTTTCTTCTTCTCTGTTTCCTCCTGTCTTGTGCCTCCCATGTGTCTTGTTTCCCAGCGTGGTGTTGTCATCTTGATCCTTGTCCTCCTTTTGGACATTTTCCTATCATTTTCATGTTCATAACACTATTTCATACACCCTCTCGACTGGTGACATCTTATTCTGTTGTTTATTAATTCAGCTTCAATTGTGGTTATGTTTAAATTCTGTCATTTCTTTTCCTTTCTTATTCCTTTTCTCCGGGTGTCTCCATCTGCGCTTTTATATAATCTCATCTCTTGCTGTTAGCTTTTTTTTATTGCTAGTGGGGTGGGACTAAGTCCCTTGTACTGTGGCCACTTCTGGCCTATTGTACCAGCCCCAGATGATAGGTGAGGGTGATTGTGGAGCAATTGGTGGAATGAAGATTGGCAGGGGAAACCGAAGTACTCGGAGAAAACCTGTCGCAGCGCCACTTTGTCCACCACAAATCCCACCTGAACAGCCCCAGGATCGAACCTGAGCTGCCATGGTGGGAAGCCAGCGACTAACTGCTTGAGCTATGGCATGGCCCTACTGTTAGCTTACTAATGTCTGTCTTTGTCCACGCCTCAAGCTTTGTGCTCCATATGCTTATGTGGGCATATAGTAACTGTTAAACGGATATTTCCAGAATTTGTTCTTCCTATAATTTCTTCTCTTTTTTGTCACCATTTCACTAACTACTAAAATATTCCATCCAGTTTTCATACAATATGAGTGATTCATTCTTAGACTGTCATTCGCTTGTTGATGCTTTATTTTAAATCAGTAAAAAATTCTTTTTCCTTTGCCAACCTGTGGCATTTGTATTTTTAAAATGGTATACTTACTCACTATTCTTATGGGACAGATGAATATTTATCCTCAAAATATGAAATTCTTATGCAACTACTTATTGCAGTTGTTTTGTTTTTAGGCAGGCTTGAATCAGGGGAGCAAGAACACAAAAAACAGCTGGATGCATTGAAATGCAGACATGAAGAAGAAATATTAACCCTGAAGAAGGAAGTCTACATTCTAAATGCAAAGGTACTTTACTTTGTATTATATTTTTAATTCACTTTCCTCGCTCTACATTTGTTGGATAAATATGATTATTGGCTACAGCAGTATACACATGACTCTTTGAAATACTGACTAGAATAAAAATTTTGTTACTGTGGTATTTTTTGGGACTAAGAATAAGTTTTAAGTTTATTTGGAAGTTAAGCACAACAGACCACAGACCACTGTAGGTCGCGATGCAAGGGCCAAGAAGGCCTACCCCTCATACATTCATTATTTGGAAGTTCTGGAAATGAAATTGAAGCAACAGCAGAAAATTTTGAACACCACACCTAGACTTTACATCCTGATTAGAAGTCTTTGAGAACAACAATAATAACCGCAAGCGCCGGTTGCAAAGTATGTATCCCTTTGAGGATAAACCACAAAATTGTCAAGTACAAGGAGAACTAAGTTTGACTTTTAAATTAAATAAATACAGATGGTCACCCATCTGCATGAAGTGAGGTCAAAAACATATTACATGTATATTCCATCTACTATGGGAATAAGTCATCGTCAGTTAGTGACATAGACCATAACATTATCATTAGAAAGTTACTAGATTCTGTTTTCAACATACTTCCAGTACTTATATGCCAGTGGGAAATTCATACGTTCTGTAAGGCCTGCACAAGGTTTGTAGAATGGGTGGACTTTACATATGATATATATAAATACCATTATTATATTAAAAACCTCACTTAACATGAAAAATATAATCAAGGAAACAGCTTAAATGCTCTTACATTTCAATATTATTATATGTGATAAGAAATTGTGTAATGTACTTGAAATACAGGTGCGTTTGTCAAAATTTGAAATTTATTAATAATGATTCCAGAAACCAAAACTAAAATCTGTTCCTGTAGTGACAGCCATTACAGCACTGAAGAGGTCTGTTTTCTGGGATATAATGCTGTATAATCCATTCAGAGTCAAATGACATTTCAGCTGTTGCCTCCATCTTCAGGGTTAAAGATGGAGGTGACATGTTCCTCTGAAACATTGCTTGAATTGCAACAGACTACATGGCGTTATATCCCAGAAGGTAGAACTCTTCAAATCCACCGCTGTGAGAACCCGTTCATGACTTAAAATTTCTGAAGTAGCTGTGAGAAGTAAATTTTGATCAACTGATTCATCACACATTAGTCCAGACATTATAGAATATGAATTTAAAAACAAAAATTCATGAGATGAAATTGCACCATTAATTCACATAATTGCATGTTTTACTTGTCTAGTAGTGTCTTCTCAGCCTCTGCATATTTTGTAATGTGTCACAGGTCATGGATTTCGAGAAAGGACAGGAGAGCTCTGCAATGGGGAAAGGAGAAGGGGACATTCACGTTAATGATGGTACTGTCAGGGAGCATCGAATCACCCTTTTGGAGACAGAACTTCAGCAACAGGAGCACCTAATACTGGGCTACCAACGTGAGAATATTAAGCTATGTCAGGAAATGAAGCAGCTTAAGGTAAGGCTCACGTATGCACTCCTGTTCCTTAGTCTCATAGTTTGGTATCATTTGACACGAGCATCTGTGAAGTGCCTTGTGATAGACTTGATTGCAGCCCAAGTTTCTTGTCCCACTGGCTCAATCTCATGGGCTGGCAGCACAAAACCATGACTACCTGTGTCAGGGAGCTCTATGGTGTAGGAGTACTTGATTCCTGCCACGCCCTTTGCCCAGTCATCAGAGCCACCTGTTGAGAAGATAACACATCTTTTGGATTATCATTAGCTAACATAACGCTATTATTTGTCAGATTTCTTACCAGCTGCCTAAGCCAAGAGATCCCCCCCCACCTCACATTTCTTTTCAAAGTAAAGAATCTTTGCAAAGACACCACCTACTTTCTCACACACAGTTCACCTTAAGTATGTCACTTTGGAAATGAAATTGATTGACACTTTGTAGAGCATCCTTGGTTACTGTATACAAAACAACAATTACATTTATCTAAGCAGTAAAGCCAGTTTCAACAAAATTTAAATGTTTTATTTTATCCCCAAATGCTTGTACTGTTACTTTCTTGAAGATACCACCTATGCAGTTTTATGTAGGGAGTAGTCTCCATAAATTATTGAAATTTAATCAAAATCATTTGAGCCATTTTGTATTCTGGGGCCCATCTAAAGGACCCCCATTTTTGGAGAGGGAATGTTCAGATTTATCAGGCATACGACCTAGAATAGATAAACTGCATACTGAATATGAATAAAATATTTCTGACCATTCAGGTGCTTGTGAGGCAGACATACAGACAGATGGCATACTGGAAACCTCTTTTTATAATTAGGAGACTCAAAGCATATAAATCCATTAAAATCCTTGGATTTTTTTTTCATGATCACAATACTTTCTTACGTACACAGTGTATGAGAAAATTAGAAGAATGCCTTATGTGGGGGTCATGTCTATTCATCTGTCCTTCCAACCATGACCAAATGTCACCTAAAATGTTGGATGGATTTTGTGTAAATTTGATATCACACTTTCACCAAAAGTTGGTAGGCAGTTTCTGTTTTCAGCCCCGTTTGTCCATAAAGCCTGGTTTGCATGACATCGTATAAACTAATTTGCATTTTGTTTTCCTCCTTTTTGCATAAGTTTCATAAGCATCAAAGAATGCTGTTGGTAATTTTGTGTACTGCATTATGTCTGCAGTTGTAGCATGCCATTTATCTGGTCACTGACTGTGATTGGTACATTTTCATGCACATAATAAACAGCAAAGAGTATACAAGCAAACTACTGAAAGAATGAAGATCAGAATCTTCTGAGATGCAATGCCATGTACTTTGGGGATAGGTACCAACATTTTGGAGAAACCTGCTGCTTCCATTTTCAGGGTGTACTAAATTACATGGTGTCTCATCACAGAAGTCTGTAATCTTCATAGACACCTCTGTTAGAACCTCATATTTTATGTTGTATAAATAGCAAAGAACAATGACAATTCTTTGCCCAAATAAAATCATGAAGTTTATGATTCTTTTGTTGTTTTGGCTTTCATAGATCTTGTAGGAGGCTGCAAATCTCATGTAGAAGCTTATCTGTAGCTCTACATTCTGTATTCATCAGAACTTGGAACAGCCAAGAATTATAGAATCATTTAATTTTGAATCAAAAGCTAGTGAAGTGAAAAATAATGGTGCTGAAAATGAAAGTATGGAAGGAAGTAAAGAATATAGAACAGTGTATGTTCCAGTCATATTTTCTGTCCATAGATAGCCCAATGGTTTTGATTCAACTGTTCATTGTTCTATACCTTGGATGCATAAGTGTTGTTCACATTTTACAAAGAAATACCATATTTTGAAAAATGCTGTCTTCTGGGATGTGGTGCCATCTAGATCTTATGTGAACCGACGTTTTGGAAGAATATATCGCCTCCATCTTCAGGGTAGAAAATCTGCAAGCAGTCTGTGGTCTGCAGCCACCTGCTCATGCTGATTCCTCACTCACGGATTTTTCTACCCTGAAGATGGAGGCGATACGTTCTTCCAAAACGTTGGTTCACTAGAATCCTCATCTGTCACATTCCATGCATTTATTTGTGTTTATGTCCAATCCATAGTTATGGTAACAAGCGTGTTGCAGTTAACGGTATGTGGTTTAGTGCAGTTAGTATTGCAGATAAGAGAGTTAAACAGTTTTAAACTGTACCTGAGGAAGTATAGAGCAGCTCTGCTGCAGTCCCTAGTAGGTAATCAGTTCCACGTACAGCTTCAAGTGCTTCTACCCCCTTCTCTGCTAGGATGTACATGTCATAGTAATCCTTTGGCTTCTCATCTTTATATCCCCATGGCACCAGCCACATTTGTGAATATGAGTGCAGAGTTAGGTAAATCTTAATCTGGTCCTTTCGATTAAGGATGAAGTCAGACATGGCCTTTGTCTCAGGCTCAGAGAATGGCCTTGGCCCCCTGAAGTCATCTGTGCAAGCATTCGAGCTGGAAGCAGGTCCTTCTCCCCAGTGGAAGTCCCAGTTTCTGTTAGGGTCAACTCCATAGCATGCCCTCCTGCCCCACCGTTGCTCCGCTGTGGCTCGAGAACGAGTCTTCCTCCAAAGTCGGTCAGTAGAGTGAGAATACTCATAGCCATCAGGGTTTGCCACTGGCATAATGTACCAGTCCACAGAATCTATCAGCTCAGGGTGCAAGTCCCGAAATTCCACCAGCTGAAGCATTATGTAGGTGACTGTTGCTGGGGAGATCCACTCTCTTGCATGGAGACCTACAGCAGAAGAGTTTGAGGTTCAGATGTTATTTAGAGAGACTGCAGCAATTCATAACTAACTTTCATACATTGACTGCTAAATAGCAGTAAGTTTTCTGAGTAGTGGTACCCTCTTTTTCTTATAAATAGTCTACACATTTAGTTATTATTTCCACACAGAACTATTAGTCTTATTTTGGACTCTATCCATTGTCTGGTATATATGAGACAAATAATCACAACGTTTCAGGGACTGGATCTGTCTCCGTCCTCAGGTGGATGGTGTAGGATAAGCCTAATAGTTCTGTACAGCATACACCATCATCAGAATCCTTTCAAGTCTATTATTATATATTTAATCACACATGTTGTGGGAGTTGGATAAGACCGAGTGCATTGGTACTGTCACTCAAATCAGCTTATTGCTCTTCCATTTAGATTTTCCAGCAACATAAAATATATTAAGTATTTTTGTATCCCCTTTGTGTCCTATATGTCCCTACCATGTCCTTTGTGATATATTCACCATAACAAAATTAAGTGAAGAGTACAAATTGTGAAGCTCCACATTATGCAGTTTTCTCCACTCTCCTGTTACTTCTCTTCAAGGCCTGAATATTTTTTTCAGCCTTCTGTTTCCATATAGCTTATGCCCATAGGTTGGAATTTCTGTTTGCCACTGATGATAATGAAGATGAAGATGATGGCTAGCATAGAGAACCTACAGTTTAACATGTGGTTGGAATCACAGTTGAGCTGTCTGTCTTTCTCCTTATTATCAAAGTATCCGTCAATAATGCAACAATTTAAAAGACGTTAGGAATATGTTTCACACTAAAAATGTATTTCAGTACTTTTTGATGTTGTTAAAATCATTACATGTCAATAGGACATTAAAAGTATATTCTGTACATTAAAAGTGGTTATCCAGTTTTCTAAAATGTCCTCAGTCATATATTTCTACTAGTTTACGACATGTATTAGGCCATATTGGCCATCATCAGGTAATTTCTTTTCTTTTAGGGAGACCACTGCCCTATACACTTGTTCACTGTGCTTCCATGCACATCAGTATATAGTTATTTCATGATCAGAATGCCGTCGTTGCACTCTATTGCAGCTGTCATAGTTTTTGTGTGTTATATGTACCACTAGTGTGGTCTACCTGTGTTGATAATGAAGATGAAGATGATGGCTAGCATAGAGAACCTACAGTTTAACATGTGGTTGGAATCACAGTTGAGCTGTCTGTCTTTCTCCTTATTATCAAAGTATCCGTCAATAATGCAACAATTTAAAAGACGTTAGGAATATGTTTCACACTAAAAATGTATTTCAGTACTTTTTGATGTTGTTAAAATCATTACATGTCAATAGGACATTAAAAGTATATTCTGTACATTAAAAGTGGTTATCCAGTTTTCTAAAATGTCCTCAGTCATATATTTCTACTAGTTTACGACATGTATTAGGCCATATTGGCCATCATCAGGTAATTTCTTTTCTTTTAGGGAGACCACTGCCCTATACACTTGTTCACTGTGCTTCCATGCACATCAGTATATAGTTATTTCATGATCAGAATGCCGTCGTTGCACTCTATTGCAGCTGTCATAGTTTTTGTGTGTTATATGTACCACTAGTGTTGTCTACATGTACACAGGTAGACCACACTAGTGGTACTTTAATAATGAGGATGATGCCTCAATGCAATGGGATGCTAAAATATAATGTCTGTCTTTACTTTCTCAGAGGGGAATGAGGGGGAAAGTTACAGGCAAAAATATGTACAGGTTCTGACCATTCTTGTATGTATGTAAGGGGTGGGCCATGGGCTGCACCATAGCTCAAGTGGTTAGTCACTGGGTTCCCACTGCGGCGGCCCGGATTCGATCCCGGGTCTGGTCAAGTGGGATTTGTGGTGGACAAAGTGTCACTGGGGCTGGTTCTCTCCAAGTACTTCGGTTTCCCCTGCCAATCTTCATTCCACCAATTGCTCCACAATCACCCTCACCTATCATCTGGGGCTGGTACAATAGGCCACAAGTGGCTGCAGTACAAGGGACTTAGTCCCACCCCACTAGCTATAAAAAAAAGGGTGGGTAGGCCATAAAAATCAGCCCCCGCACTGCAACCTTCAATGTTCTATTGTGCTTCTCTGACCATTTTTAATATTTATTGGCCATTCATTCTAATCATATTTTTTTAATACAGAAAACCCTTGTGGAATGCAGATTTCCATATAAATGTGA